GCAGCATCGATTTTGATGGCATCATTGACGAACTCGACTAAAATTTCATTACTTTCCACCAATTCGGAGGAATATCCTCCTCTCTGGAAAACTAAGTACAGCAAATTCTCCAACACTTGCCATATACTGATAGCAATCGTACTAAAAATCGATTTGCAAGTGTAATTAGTCCAGCAAATTCTTGTACTGCTAATGTTCCTTCCCTGGCTAGAAAGTACTTAGTTTTACTTCTCCACAAAGGCAGCATTGTGGTTGAATTATGAAACACAAGAAAAGTTTCTTTTGCTGCATTTACGTTACATCTATTCTTTCTTTGTTTAGAAGCGAGCATGATTGACAGGTTATTCCAGAGAATGGATATTAGACTTGCTTACACTCAAAAGGATGAGCCTTTTCTTTCTCTCTCTCTCTTTTTCCACCATCATTTTCTGAAATAAATACATCAGTGTCTTAGCTCTGCTTTGAAGGGCATCTTTGAGTTGGGTTCCCATCCGCGTCACGATAGATTTGCAAGTCTGAATTTCATTTTAATCGTTACTTTCTTTGCTTTGCTTTTCTGAAGATTTGACACACAGGGAGAAGGTGGAAGCTCAGGGTTTAAGTTTTATCATTTTAGGGTTTTGTTGGTCTCTATGCAGTGCTGACAAAATCACCCACTTAGTTTGTCCTGTGAGTAGTAGTTGACATGTTTCCTGTCTACTTCAACTGGAGAATCGAACGAAAGGATTAAAAGTATACATATCTATTAGTTGGAGAACCAAATATACACACTTATTAGTTGGTTGGAGGACTAAAAGTGCACCAAATGAAAAGTTTTTGAGGACCATTGGATCATCGAGGTCTTTTGCCCCCAAACAAAATGATATCCACATAACCTACAAGAAAGAAATGACAAAAGAAATCAGATGGGAAACTAAAATGACTAAAGACTATATCTAAGATTAATCTTAACTGACAAACTGACGTCCATATGTTGTTGCATGTACACTATTCAACCATTCCTACCTTTAGCCGTTGAAGCCAATTTATATGGCTCGATGGTAGAGCCACCACTGACCATACTCCGGTTTATGCATTCGTCCAAAGATGAAGGCCTTCATCAGGTGGCCATTGTTTGGCGTGACAACCACAATCAGAAGAATAACAACTGAAAGAAGTAATGAAGATCTAATCTTTTCTTCCACAAGATCAGTGAGTTCTGACGTTGGTTTTTCCTTGTCACCAGGTATAAATAACTCAAGCCATCATCAATCCAATTTTCTCAATCACAGCCATAATCTTTGGTTTGGTAAATCCCAGAATCCACTGCAAGATAAGGTTTGCTATGTCTGCTTCTTCACTAGATGCCTGCGTCTTTTGTTCTACACATGCATCGATAAACATTCTTGAAAATTGTCTAGGCACATAATAGATATGTATGAATATGATGCAAAAAATACTGCTACAGTATATATGTCATTAAATTAAGCTATAAACTTCAATCTACAAAAGAACAGACCAAGAAAACATGGTCTGTCTTTTGTTTGCTAAGCTGTAATCTTCATATTGTTACTTTCGTTTGACATGGTAACTGCCTGAAAGAAGAGTCAGTTGAACTATTCGTGTTTCTTCATTTTTGTTCCTTGACAATCTTACTAGAGAATTGATAATTGGATCTTATAATCAGAAATGCAGAAGGTTCTATCTAGAAAATGAGGCTCAAACACAATCATCAATATAAAAAAAAACTTCACGAAATTAACAGCTCGTTTGTCATTGTAAAGCCACAAGTGCATGCAAACATCAGCTAACATGTCTCTGTTCTTTGTCAGGCAATACAAGAAGTTCAAAAACGGTCTAGAAAGTTTTGTTTTAAGCAATGAACAAGTATGAATTATAAAACTTCATCCTAGAATTGTTTAAATTATCTAAAAGATTCCTAGTAGGATGAAATATTGCTAAGGTAAATGACTGTGTGTGATTTAACAGAGGAGGCAGGGGAATAAACGTATATGTTTTGAAAATTTTGTCAAATAAATTTGTTGCGTATAACCTGCAGAGATTGAGCCTCGGAGATCCTGAACTGCCCTGTTGTTCAAGATGGCGTGCCAAACAGCTTTGTCAGGAGATTGAGACCACCGTGTTCTGCAATTTAAGTAGGCACCTTTTAGAGACATAACTGAAAGAACAATTAGTGTGGAAATGACTTTGGAAACTTTCAAATTATCAGCTGATATCTTTTGACAGTAAATACGATCTAGAACCATACATCAATTTTCTGAGTAGAAGAACAACAAAAAGGGCAGAAATGACCAAGTCATCAGCAGAATGAGATTTTAGACAAGGGCACAGACAACAACTACATGTGCATTGTTTCACCTGAACTGATGGCTCTCTTTGGAGCTTACTAAAAGCATCTTGGAATCTTTCATATCCAGGGGATTGCAGCATCCTTGAGTTGCTAGGCTAAACTATTGGTTGAAGCCAATGGAAGTTAGATTTAGCTTCACCATGCAGAAACCTGAGCAAAACAAAAGCATATGATCAATTAAATTTTAGAAGTCAGTAGATGCCTCTAAAGACTAACCATATGATCCAATTTATCTGGGGGTAAAACTCATTGACTGATAGACACAAACGTATTGCTTATGCTTTTTAGTGTTAACATGCATAAACCATCAAATGCTGCAGAAAAAAGGTCGTCCAATTAATTCTACCAGATTACAGCAATGTATAATGCCAGGGCTGATAGAGAGAATTTCTATTACCTAAGTTATCAAAGAACCATAATAATTTCCTTTTGTTTGATTTCGAGGACTTAGCGATCAAAAAAATTGTTTGATTCAAGCACCTCAAGTATCAATTTGAAGACAGGAGGTAGGCAACACAGAAACAAACCAAACTTTTAAAAGCATTAGTATGTGGTATTTTTAATTTTCGGTAGAAAGTTTAAGCATAGATCTTAGCTCTTTAGGCAAGGATCACTCAGAAATGGTTTTTGAAAGAAGAAGAATAAATCGATGGAAAAAGTATTGCAGTAGATTTCGATCGTAATCTCTTCCAAGCTTTTCATAAAAAAGGAGCGACAATGGTGCTCATGTTTGTAGAAAACAAGTTTAAATTGAAAATACACTAAAGAAAAGCAATGATTGATAAATTTATATTCTAAATGATAAAGTCTCCACCATATTTTTTGATATGCTTATTTCTAATTCTTTCAATTAAATGATAACAAAATCATTTGTATGGTTTTAAAAAATAAAATAAAATAATAGAGATGAATTTTGGCCAATTACCAAGCTGTAACTTTTTGCTCTTATATTTTTTTCAAGATAGATATATAGGATCAAAATATGTCTAATGATCATCAAGTTGAAACCTCTAAACTCTTTTGGGTATTATAGGTTTGCTAACCCAATAAAAATCTCGAAGCCAAGGCTGCTAGGTTCAATATTTTTAAATTCGGATTGGAGAGTATACTGGAAGAGCATCCAGTTCTCGATTCAATTGGTTCAATCAATTCAATTTCGATTCAGATTCAAAGGTTTAATCATTTGCCAATCCCGACCATTTGCCAAATAAATTAGCTACTTTTGTTTAGTTATTCCTCAACACCCCCTGTTTCAGCTTTATCATCCCTTGGTCGCTCGATTTTTCCCTCCATTAGGGCTGTCATATTGGGACGCTACTCACTCAATTTTTTTTATTGAAAACCATGAAATATACGAAACGATTGAGCAGGAGAAAGAGAGAGAGAGAGAGAGAGCACAACATGTGAGAAATCGAATATTCAACTTTCATATTAGGGCTGGCTCCTCTTTTTTTTTCCCCCTTTTTGGCTTAAAGATAAGAGGATTTGCTTGGTGCTTGGTTTTTCTTTTCTTTGTCACTATATGGTTTTGTGAGAGAAGATGAAACAGCTTGAGAGTGCAGCCGTGCTTATGATTTCTTCAAATTGGGAGTCTTGCCTTGATAAGACTTTCGTGGCTTTGAGTATTAGAATAAATTGGAAAGTAAGCTGTAGGTTGTTATTCTTTTTGCCCATTTCATTTGCTAGACATTTTTGCTCCGGTCAGTCTCCTTAGATCACAGAAAAATTGACCTGTGTATCTATTGACTAGAAATGAAATTCCAAGTATACGGTGTACCATTAACCACCAGCCCAGGGCTCATGACCGCCACCAATGCATTAAAGCTTGGTGAAATGGGAGACAAGGGCCTCCCACTAATTTGCCACATTAAAGTGACTTTGTTTAAAAATCCAGGCAGGTGCGTAGTGCACCCATCTGGTCCGGTAGTGGTTCAGTTTTTTCCGGATTACCCTTAGACTTCTTCAGGTCCACCCCTCCCCTTAGTATAGGACTAGGAGGAGAACACCGCGCGATGCGCGGTGTAATTTTCAGCGGTGTAATTTTCAAAGTTGCCCAGAAATGCCCAATGATTCAAATTCAAACTATTAAGTATGAAAAGTTACACAAAGGTACACCAAAAACTTTACCGTTTTGTTTTTGTAGTTTTATTAAGCAGTGAATATGAATAATCTATTAAAGAAATGCAAGACAATATAATGAGAGACTCTAAGATCATTAAGATGCTCCTTGCTTTTGCATAGAATGAAAATAAAAAATAAAAAAAGACACATGTAATGGAGGAGAAAGGGGAAAAAATATAGCTTGAAAAAATATAGAAAGCAAGTTGTTAGTTCCTAAAAAAGGCATTTAATAGCTATGAGTTTGTTTTTTGTTGAAAAAACCACAAATCAAGTTGTCAGTTCCTAGAAAAGGATATTTAACAACAATAAGTTTCTTTTACAATATATTCAAACGAATAATAAAATGCATATACATGCAGTATAAAGAGAAAATCTACTTAGTAAGACTAAACGTATACCAGTGCCAATTGAAAAAATTGACAAAGAAAAGAAAAAAGTATTTCTAATTGGCCACAAGCAAAATGACTCTAGACTTTCAATGACTAATAGCATCAGAGAGCTCCAGCTTCATTCTGATTCTCCTCTCATTCCATGAATGCAAATACCTATCGAGCAGTGAACGATGGGTTTAGAAATTCACTCTATAGACGAAACTCCAAGTTAAAAGCTATAGACAAGAAGCAATGTCATAAACCAGATTACTAAACATTTGAACAAAAAAATCCTAAAGAAAATATCAGAGGATTTGAATTTCTATGGAACACTTAACTCCGATCAGAAACATCAAATTTTGGAAAAAAAAACAAAGCAATTTATACCAATCTATAATAATAGTCCGAAAGTATAAGCAAAGAAATAAGTAAAAGGACAAGACAGTACCTCAGGAGAAACCAAAAGCAACGAGATCTGACAAAATTTCTTGATGATATTAATGCAAATAATCCATGAGCATCTTCACACTTCAAGTGCACGAGAGGTAATTTTAATGTTTCTAAACAAAAGAAAAAGGATCATATCTCAGGAATCGAGAAAGCAACAAAGACAATCTTAATCAAAACCAGCGAGAATAATTAAACCCAACAGGATAATGCATCATCAGTGGAACAGTTCAATCAAATACAACGTAGATCTTCAGACATATTCAAAGTGCAATACATTTGAAATTATTCTACCTAAAGCAATAGTAAGCTTAACCTATGATGTTCGTTATTCCTCCTTGTTTTGATTCTAAAATCGTCTAACTAATGCCTTGAATTTTTGTGGCACTATAGCACTATTTATTACTTTAAGCTTTGAATTGCATTACTTTAAGCTTTAAATGTACACCACAAATGCTAATTTTAGCAAATCCAATGATAATTAACATTGATAACACAAAATATAGCTCTTCTGGTACCTAATTCCCACAAATTGAAATGAAACCCCAAACCAAAAAGGATAAATGATTCTACTATCTACCTTATCATTTGAAAGCTATTAGAATCCTCACACAATCTTATCAAAATCAAATCTTATTGAAAGCATAATAAATAATTACACAATGAATAAACCAACAAAAAATGAAAACTCAAAGCAAAAACAATCTGATGTGATCCTAAGCATTATCTGATCAATTACTTTCAAGCTCTTACCATCTACAATGAGTCGATCAAAATCCAATTTTTCAATCATTCTAATAACTAATTCTACAACTATAGATGCAACTCACACAAATTTTTTTTTTTAAAAAAAAATCGCTTAGGACTATGAAATTTTATTATTTCTTCTTTCTTTTTTGCTTCACATTCCATAATAGAAAGTCAGAAATAAAAAAAAAAGGCAAACAAGAAAGAAACTCAGAAGACTGCTCAAGTTACAAAGAAAAAGTAACAGAAAAAACTTAAAGCATTCAATCAAACCAAAGATCTGTTCTTTCCCTTCATCAGCCTCACCTCATTTTCATTTCAAAAACTCATTTAAAAATGTATTTTGAACTAAAATAAAACCTTACAAAAACTGCTTAAATTAAAGAAACTTATAACCTGATTGGGCTGAAGATTCATACTTTTCTCTTCATCTGCTTATTCCTCTTCTCATCTTCTCCTTCTAATCAGGGGAAAAATTAAACAAAAAAATACTTACAGAACCAGCTTAAATTTCACAAAAAAAGTGAACAAAAGCATACATGTTCTGATGAAGATCCATATTTTCCCTCCTTGCTTCTTTTCATGGCCTTCTTTTTTTTTGTCCCATTTCGCTTGCTGTTTAAAATGGGAACCTGAACATAATCAAAGCAAGGCCATTAGAAATTTGTTGCAATTGTGAGAAGCTAATACAAAGAAAAATCAAAGAATCCTTAATCTTGCTTTCAAACCAAATTGTTCCATTTTCACCAAAATTATGCCCGAATCTAGTTTCTTGTTTTCATGAAGCTCTATTTGTACTCTCAAAAGTTTCCATTTAACCATTTAATGGTGAGATGAGGAATAAAACCCGTAAAGTAAATTTCACAAATTTAAATATGCAAACAAATCGTTATAATTTACAAAATAAGCAATCTTGGCAATGGTTATTCGATGCACACCACAAATGTCCACTACCTAAGGCATGACAATGTGTATGTCAAACACATCCAAACTTGGCAACAAAATATCCTAAAATAAAAACTTATATGCTATCTTACCCAAACAATACAGACAGTCTAAATAAAAAAGAAATATAGAGTAAACCTCTTGAATGGCAATAATTCTTAAAAGTTTTCTTACAATAACATCATAATGGTCAACAACAAATTCAGTAAGTATTTAAGTTTCGCATAGTTGTACAACCCCATAATGATTAAAAGTAAGAATTGACCACCATTTTTTCTTTCTTCCCTCTCTTGACAAAAATCTGAGCAGAAAATCATAGAGCAAATCAGTACATATATGACGAGTAAAGCCTAAAAAAAATTGACCACTTAAACATTTTTTTCTCAGTAAACTTTGAATAATTCTTCACGTTTCTTGCTGTAATAAAAGATAATTAAATAAAATAAGAGACCAAAAAAAAACCTTCTATAGTAAACAAAGTAGTATGATTCCAATACAGTGAATTAATACAGTGAATTCCAATACATTTTTTATGATTCCAATACAGTGAATTAATGGTGTGCAAATAGTGAAGGACTGAAAGGCTGAAATTAAGAATAAACCAGCTAATAGTGACCATGCTCAACACAAAAGCAAGATAAAATAAGATAAAAAAGGACTGCATTTTTAACTTACAAAGTTTGTTATTCCATGAACTGGTTTCGGAGTGACTACATCTTCAATCATTTGCACCTTTAACATGAACAAAGTAAATTAATAACATAAAAGAATAAAAAACATTAATAACATAACCAAAAGTAAAATAAAAAGAAGATGACTTAAGAAAATAGGATCTAAATGCAAAGTAATCCTAACATCTTTTTGTTATTTTAGCTGCAAAAAATTCTCTTTACCTTTTCAAGGAATATAAAGAAACTGGAAAGACCAACATATTACCACACCAAACTTTTAATTGCCCATAAACATTGAAATCATTTTCACGAAAGGTAAAGTCCAAATAAGCAAGAAACATGTAGTAAACCACTTAAATGGTAGTAGATAGTAAGAAATTTCTCTGCATTAACAGGCTAATACTCAATCTGCCATATTTACTCTATATTCACTTTATATTCCCAAAATGTTATCCCCAGTAGATGAACTCAAACCAATCTTCTAGGAACAAAATAAACAAAAATTTAACCAAAAAATGGTATTCTTGTAAACCTAAAATAAAAGGTACTCATTTAAAAGACGAAGGGCAGGCAAGATTCATGCATATACAAATATATAGGAAACATGTACTTAAAACAAGTATCTCAACTAATGGCTCCTTGATAGGTTTCAGTGCTTTTATCAGCAACTAAGAAAACACAAAAAGTATTTTTTTTCTTTTGTTTTAAAGAATCCATATACACTCTCCGGAAAATGAGAACCAAAACTTCACAAGGAAAAAAAAAGAAAAATAGTTTTATCAAAAATAAAGACACGAAAAAATAACTAAAGTTTTCAACAGTCATTGACATGAAATTTGATCTCCACAAATGGAGACTTTGGGTTGGTTACCATATGGATCGTCTATTGTGAGTCAATAATTGAACGCACCCCTGCACATAACAAACCAAAAAAAAAAAAAAGCCATAAGATGAGCCATGAAAACTCCATTTTTAGAGTTTCTCGACAATCTTTTATTTCAGTTTCTCTACCAAGTAATTTTTTCTTCTATAATAAATATCATACAAGTTTGTATAGGGGGCTCTAGAGACCCAAAAGAAAGAAATAAGTAACATAGAAACTACTTAAAAAGAGTACAAAAGTTAAAAAAATGAAAAAATAAAATAGAGAAAACCTGAGATGAAGAAGGACAAATCCCAAGGAAGCAAAATTGCACAGAATGTTTCTCGGTGATGATCTTCTCTTGGCTGTACCTGTCTTCGGAGAAAGCATGGATAAAGAAATAAGGAACAATATAGGCGAAATTTAGATATTAACCAGGCAAAAATTTTTGGGGAATAAAACCAATAAATATAGAAAGGAAATAAAGATTAAGAGGCACGGAAAAGACTTCAAAAGGGGGAAAAAACTTACAAAATAGCATGACGACGATGGAGAAAATCTCCAAATTTCATACCTGCAACATCGCAACATCACAAAAGAAAAAAAAATTAGACGTGATTTTTTGAAGATCTAAGAAAATCACATCTGTTGATAACAAATTTCGGGAAAGAAAACGGCCATCGAACAGAGAAAGATTGCATCCTTTTTTCCTTTCTTATTTATCCAACAGATACCTTGGCCAGAAAAGATTATTAGGGAGATATAAGGGAAAAAATCCAGATAAAATGTACAAAAAAACAAAAAAAAAATCATAGAGAAAGTGTTCACCTTTAGAGAACAATCTCCACATTTCTTCATGGTTTAGTTAATAGTCTGACCTCTCAACCTGTGACAAAAAATATGAAACTTATCAGAGAATGAGAGAAAATTTAATCAAGGGGAAAAAAATGTATACAGAACAAAAATGGAGAAACGGTGGATTTGAGAGGAAATCGGAACCATTGTAAAATCGGAATCATTACATTACCATTGCAAATCGGAACCAAGGCATTAAATCAGGAAAAGGAAAGTTCAAAATAGCTAAAGAAAACGAAGAACTAATTGAATGTTTATGAGGTAGCTCTTTCTCTCTAGCAAAGAAACAAGAGCAATAGAAAAAGGTAAAGAAAGGAGTAGATGCACAATTACCACTGTTCATGATGTTGAGCAGCAGAAAATCTGCTGGGACCATTGTACAAATGCAAAGAAAGCGGAGAAACTCTATAACCATTGTACAAATGCAAAGCAGAAAACAACGTCAATCGACGGGAGCAAAAGAGCTGATGGGCGACAACGAGAAGAGGCGACGGCAGATTGCAGATTTACAGACATGACCCCAGAAAAAGGACAAAAAAGACTACAAAGGCTCTTATGAGGAAGCGTAAATGGAAGCAGAAAGGATGGGTAATATAATAAAAATGAGTCAGGTATTATTCAACTCAGGTAAAATCAGCTGTCAACAAAAGGAGGCTGGAGGCTGATGACAGGAAATGTGAGCGGTGGATGAAGAAATCGAGAAACGATGCAGCCAAACTAAACAAGCAAAATTTGTCCGTTGCAAAGACCTGGTAATTAAGGGTGTTAGTTTATAAGATTAGTTAATTATGAAACAATTAACTATTAAGCCCGCCAAAAGCAAAGAAGACAAGAGTAATGAGAAGCGGTCTTCTCAAGACAGAGCAACGTAGACAGATTAAGTAACTAACAATTAATAACAAGGTAATTAATTGCGAATCGTCAGGCAAAAAAAAGTAACAATATTAATTAATTAGTTAGCAATCAATTGTTAAAAAGGGCAGCCAAATATGATTTGATCCGCAACCCCAAAAAAGAGGCTAAATTTTAGCTAATAACTACCCAGAGCTGGTAATTAAATGCGGCTTGTTAGGTAAAAAATTTCAATAACTATAAAATTCGGTAATTAAAAGGAATTTGTCTGGCAATAAAACTGCAAAATTAGGGGCTAATTTAAAAAGAACAATTTTAAAAAGTCGATAATTAAACTTGATTTGTGGGCAACCCAAGATAAAGGTGAACATTTTCTTAATAAAATCTGGAAAAACAAAGGTAACTAAATGCGATTTTGTGAAGAGGCAAAAAAAATGTTTTTTTAATAGTTTCAAAAAAGTCATGAACTAAATGTGATTTGTTAGGTAAAAAAAATAACAAGTAAAATGACATCATTAATTAGCTATTAACAATGAATAAAAAAATTGGTAATAAAAAGTGATTGATTGGGTAAAAAATGGAATTCAAATAAAAATAGATAAATAAATAGTTATAACAATTAATAGTGGAATCGATAATTAAACGACGGTGCGTGGCGTGAATAAACGATAAATGACACCAGCGGAAGCACACTACATTGCTGATTGTTTATGTAGAATCAATACCAAATAAAGCTGTAATGAAAATTTGATAATAATAGGTGAATGCCTTCCCCTCTTATATTCGAAAAAAAAATATGTGTTAATAATTAATATGTGTCAATTACAAGAATTTGATAATTAATTGTGATTTATTTGGAAACTACAAAATGTTAATAATTGTAAGAAGTTGAAAGTTAAATGTTATGTGTTAGGTAATAAAAAATGAAATTATTGATCAGCTAACGAACAATCAATTGGAAAAAAAGTATTGCTAAACGTCTGAGAAAAAAAAAGAAACAAAATCCAAAAGAATTGCTAAACGTTTGAGCAAACAAAAAACAAAAGAATTCACGCGTGGGAATGGACGGCCATCAATTGGAAATTGGCACGGGTAAACAAAAGGCAAAAGGATTGCTAAAGGTCTGAGAAAAAAAAAAAAAACAAAAGAAACAAAGCAAAGCCAACCAAAGCCACGTGGGACCAGAATTTAGCTGCAAACTTCCAGGCCAGACGTCCAAGCAAACAAAGAGAAAAAACAATCGGCTGGACAACCAATTCACGCGAGCGAATTCACACGAAGCGACGAACGGACGACCACAATCGGCCAATGGAAGCCCGCCACGTCAGCAATCACAACGCAATTGAAAAGTTCCCCATTCCCGCATAGACTAGATATGTTAATAATCTATCGTATCAACAAAAAAAAAAAAAGGTATACGGGGTACTATTGTCCTACATTCTTCTTCACAAAGAAAGAATCTATCAGTTTATTAATGTTTAATTTTCTAGTTGCATGCAAAAAGTAATGGAGTACAAGTGAAACAAATTGTCATCTGTGATTCAGGATGTGCCTTAACAGTTTCATAATCTAGGAGAACCAGAAGCATAACGTTAAGTTCTTTAAAGGTGATTGATACCTTTGGTAACAAGATTGGCATGAAGAAGTAAAGGTACTCTACTCTATGAAAGCAAAACATTGTGAAGCGTTGCTTCATATTTCTTAAACGTTGGTTATAGAAATGAAGAGAGATAGCTGAAGTAATTTCCTCTGAGGCCTAATCTTTAATTACCTCCAACCAAAACCTCAATGCTCTGATACTGTACTGCAGATGCCCCTTGCGAAACATCTTTCCCTGCCATCCTTTCCTTGGCTTTGGATTCAGCTTCATTCATTTTTTTTCAACTAGTACACACTTATCTGTCTGCCAAATGCAATCTAAGGAGATAAATTGCTCCTTTATAGGATAATATTCCCTAAATACCTGCACAGTGCCCAAATAAGAAAAGAGGATGTTTCAAATGAATAGGCAAACTTTACTCGAAAAGGAAATAATCTCTTTAAGCTGAGGTCCATAAAACAGTAACTACTACTATAAACTGATGCAAAAGAATTCATTAGACTACAAAATCAGTGAAAATAACCTCGAAACCTTCTTCGGTTATTTTAATAGCCTGCTCCTTTCGAGATAGAGAAGAAACGGAGTTGTATACACAAACAACATCAAGGAGTATCTGCCATGAAAGGAATGGCAAGCCAACTTAGTCAAATTAAATTGTCAAATCTAATAATTATGAAATCAAATCTCTATCACCGACATGATTACATGGATTACAAGTATATCATCCTCCAACTAGCTCAATCTATATGATTTCATCACTAAGCTCATTGAAGAAACAAACAGCACTTACTTGTTGAATCAAGACTCGAAGGCGTGCAAGCAGTGACAAAATTGTCAGTGAAAATCCCATGAAGAATGATTGAGAAAGCAGTTCAGATATATCTCTGTTAGTTGTCACGGAAAAACAGATGAAAAACTATATGAAAGGACCATGCAAGACTGCACTAAAAAATCCTACGCAATAATACCAACCATCAGGAGGAATTTCCTACATGATTAACTGAACCATGAATGTCAAGACAAAGAAAGCAAATAATAAAGGATCCAATATTAATCTGCAACTATGAAGAAGAGTAAACTAGAGTAAGTAGTGATAATTCTACTCATATCCATGTCTGATTACGATAGGATGCTTCTTTTATATGCCAGGAGATCTTAAGTCAGAGAAGTAGTTAAGTATAAGAATATAAAAAACAAAGTCAAAATTAGCTTGATTAAAGACACAACCAACAGGAAACCACATAAATAGCGCAAAATGTTGCTCCACATTATTAGTTCACACACTTGAGATGTCACTTTGAAACTGGTACAAGCAGAAACCTTCAAGACATTCAATTTCAAAAGATTAACATGAACCAATTGAAAAGAAAATAAAGGGTGTGAAATGAGTAGGGAATCTAGGATAAATGAACCCATTATTTCCAGAAGTGAATCTTTAGTCAAGATCCTACATACAAAATCAAAAACTCAACAAAGGATACACAGCTGCCTTCAACATTGGCTCAACCATCTGCAACAGAGATAGAGCACAATTGGGAAGATAGTTTCATGAATCAGAGCATACTGATCCCTTCTAATCATGTTTTCAACTAGAGGGAAAGTTTAGTACTTGTTGGATATAAATAGACAAAAGGAAAGTAATCTATTAAAGCCCCACAAGAAATTGAAAATGACCACATCTTCACTCTAGTTCTCCTACTGGTAGTTGTGGTGTAAGGTGAAGCAGCAGATATGCTTCCTTGGGAAAGAATAAAGATTCCAGCTAATTCTATTTCTCTTGTGGACAATGATACCAAAGAAGTAGATGGAGGAGGATGGTAAAGAAAGACAGCAACAATGATCTGTTAATAATTTGCTACTACAGGAAGATAACATAGGAACAATGGAAGACACTGAATCAACCAACTTCAATCCTCTAAGGTCCAAAGATTTTGATGGACACTGACTTAGACAGATTTGGACATCAAAACAATGAAAAATTTTGAAAAGCACAGATGTAAGATCATTGTTTATGGCATGCTCGCCTTTTGATGTCACAAGTTCGACGAGGCACGTAGACAACTGAAGGTAGAATAACAGTTTAAAGAAAACACAACTATGAACAACAAATCACAAACAAATGTACTACCTTTGATAGTAAACGTGCAACCTCAACAAGCCTTTCCAAAAGTTATATTTACTTCCATCACACCTTCTCCATTTTAAACTGAACCCCAGTGTAAAACAGGATGCAAACAGAATTACAAATTGAAGCAATGAAAGGCCAAAAGTTTAGATATGTGCAATGCAACAGCAAGTAACAGTCTAATCACTGCTAATCATACATTAAATTGCATTCAACTTCCAATTTAACTTTTCAAAGCCTCCATATCAAATTACTAAGAATTCCAAATTCTGTATGCAGCTGACCCAAAAAAGCCTTCAATCTCTCCTCAACTACTTCAAATTCAGAACCCATTACCTTTAATAATGCTAATAACTACGCTTGCAGTTTAACTCATATGTCATATCCACGACTTTCGCACACGATGCTGTTTCGGGCGGTGATTCTTAAAAGGGTGCAGTGGTGGCGAAAGCCAGAGGGGACTTTTTGGAGGTTGTTCCTGGAAACAGGGTTCATTCAGAACTTGTAAAAAAGTCACCAAAAATAAAGCGACAGGAAAACAGGATACCTAAAAAGTCGAGGGTGGCAGGTGTCTGAGGACGACAAGAACCCTAATAAACTCTGTAATTGAGGTACTTAGAGGGATGGAAACACCAATTTTCATATTGTTTGTGCTACAAAGTAAGGAGGATAACTATAAAATATAAATAGTGAGTTGCATTACACCGTATACTTGCAATTTCATTTCTAGTCAATAGTACACAGATACACAGGTCAATTGTTCTGTGATCTAAGGTGACAGGAGCAAAAATGTCTAGCAAATGAAATGGGCACAAAAGAGAAACAACCTACTGCCACTTTCCAATATATTCTAATATTCAAAGCCACAAAAATCTTATCAAGGCTAGAGCTGTTAAATGAACCGAACTGTTCAGTAGTTTGGTTCGTTTCGACTCGTTCATGTTCGTGAAAGGTTCGTTCGAAACCTTAAACGAATCGAGTTTGAACGAATTTTTTTATTCGATTAATAATCGAGTGAACACGAGCATGTTCGCGAGTTTTAACGAACATTCATGAACATTGACATAATTACCATTTGACAAATTTTAGGGCTAATTTTATGGCTCGACTTTTATATGTGGAGGGCAAATTGCTTTGTTTTATTTATTGTTTTTATGTTAATGCTAGTTATATAGTTAATGAATAATATTATTTAGTCACTTAGTGCTTTAATTGTTTTTGAGGATGATTAATGATTTGTATTGCATATTTAAGGCTTAAAATAATTTGTATTCGAGCTTTTCGAGCATGTTCGCGAACGGCTCGTTTATGTTAAACGAGTCGAACACGAATTCGAACTCGAATATGAACTTTGCTTAATGAGCCAAACACGAACACAGGTTTGGAGTTCGAAAGTTAACGAACGAACACGAACGTTGTTCGAATTGCTTAACGAACAGAGCCCAAACATGAGATACTTGGTTCAATTCGACTCGTTTACAGCTCTAATCAAGGCAATCCTAGAGTGAAAAAGTACTACAGAATGACTCCCAATTTGAAGAAATCATAAGCACGGCTGCACTCTCAAGCTGTTTCATCTTCTCTCACAAAACCATACATTGACAAAGAAAACAAAACATCAAGCAAATCATCTATCTTTAAGCCAAAAAGGAAAAAAATTAAAAAAAAAGAGGGAATAACAGAAAAAATTATGAACGAAGCACCAGCAACTGATTGTATAGTTCAATTTCTAACTCCAAGGGATGATATGGAGGTTGAATATTCAATTTCTAACATGTTGTACTCTTTCTGCCGCTCAACCATTCCATATATTTCATGGTTTTCAATCAAAAAATTAAGTGAGTGTCCCAATACAACAGCTCTAATGGACGAAAAATCGATCTTCCAAGGGACTGATAAAGCTGAAACAGGGGGGTGTTGAGGAATAACAAAACAAAAGTAGCTAATGTATTTGTGGTTATTTGGCAAAATATTTATGTTATTGGTGAGAAATCATGGGATTGCCGCTTATGTATCCTCTTTTGTGAGGATGCGTTCTTGCAAGCATGTTTTTCCTCATTTGGGCGTTTGTTCAAATAGCTAACAGGCGTAGAGAAGAAATTAGTGTATTTCTTTTCAAACTTGTTCATAAATAATGCCCAATTTTTTTCACCAATCGAATCCCATAACTAATTTCAGTTCCAATCTTCAAACATCAACAAGGCTCAAGCATAGAACATCAAAAAAATATAATGACACTAATTAATGCATAGGGAACAAAGTAAAAATAAAACATTACAGGACTGCCCGAGCTCTACCTCCGGCAATGAAGCTTGATCCGACTGTTGGTGCTTTGATTTTCGTGAAAAGAAATTAAAAGCTCGTAGTCCATGTCTACCGTCTATGGGCGGAAGAGGCCGTAAAAGTGGTATGCACCGAGCGTATCCGGTGAACAGAGAGCTTAGAATTGCAGAGTGGTGTTTCCTTATTTGTGTGTCTCCACAACAACTCCCCCAAGTTCCTATTATTCTCCTATGACACCCTAAATATTGCAAGTCAATCATCCCCAATAAATATTAACAGTTCCATTCTAACACCCTAAAAATCAAAATCAATCCCCACTAGGTACTTTCATATTATGAAGGGTACCTAACACAAAAACAAAACGTCTATAATTTCATTTGTTTTTCATTGATATTCTTAATTTACTAAATGCTCAAATTAATTTCATGCCTTTCAACTAATTCTTGATCACAAACATCTTTATGAATTACTAGTCTAAGTTAAACTTGAAGTTGCAAGAACCCTTCTGATAGAGATCAAGGAAAACCATCAAGTGCTCTAGAGAACGCCTTTCCCCTTTTGCAAGTCCTCTTCTCCGTGTTCTCCTGCTGCATGCATTCATTACTCCTCTGCTTTTATTTTCTGCATCCACAGCTCGCTGCTCTATCCTGCTACCTTTGTTATTGCTTTGCATAAGTTCATATCTAGGTTCTACCTCCTTTATGCTAAATCTTTGTTTTTTGCCCTTATTTATGCTGTGAGCTCTAAACTATATTTGTTATTGTCATGCTTAGTGTTAGCTTTGAATATTCAGTGTATAGTGTCTTCAAGTGATGTGCTTGCACATTTAACGAATAAGAAGATTCTTTGCAACCGAAAATTAAGAGGAAAACTGCTTCCTTATCAGTAGAAGAAAAAGAAGCTAAACAGAGGGGAGCTTATCAAAAGAGGAAAGCAAGGAAAGCTGCATCGACGCCTTCTATGAACCAACAACAAAGTAAGAAGGGTATCTAATTCAGTTTTGCCGGAAATGAAAGCTGTAGTATGAATGTTTAGTGCTTCGCCTTTATATTGATTTCTTGAGATTTCTGCTTAACTAGCTTAATGGTGATTAAAGCTCTTTATGTGTAAATTCAGAGCAAACTTCTGTAAGAAATATATACAAATGGAGAAGAGCATAAATGTTTAGTATTTTGCCTTTATCTGAAGGTCTTGAGTTTACTGCTTCGCTGCCTTAATACTGGATTAAAAGAAATCTTTATGTGTCAATTCAAAACAAAATCTGTGAGAGATGCATACGAATGGAGAAGAGCTTCCAGTTATTGTGGAAAGTCCGCACCAATAATGCCTAGATATGCCTTGCGCTTGAAATAACTGCGATATGTTTTATACTTGTTCCTGCTTAGTTGTTGTCTCTTAGTCTTGTGTTACTTTGAGAGTTCATGTTTTCTTCTATTGATTTCTGGTTACATATTTATAACTGCATTCTGTAATTCAATTTGGGCTTAAAGATACGGCATCCAGGCTTTCTACAAGCTATGTAATCCTAAATTCTATCTTAAATCACATGTGTCCAAACATCTGAGACGTTACCATGTCTACATCTTCCTTGCCAGCTACCACTCCTTTACTTACACAAGCTTCTGAAGCCACTAGCCCTTCTGAGCCAATTTCTATCTATTACCACATACTTGCCAACCTTTCATCTTCTCCAGAGGCCTTAACAATAAAGGAGCAGCCCATCTCCAATCTCACTGATTTGCTTAGACAGGAAAATAAGGCAAAAAAACTTAATAACCTTCTGACACAACTTCAGCCCTTCTTTTCCTTGATCCCCAAAGCAAAAAGTCCAAAATTGTTCGTGGAATTCTTGATACGCTGGCCAAACTACCTGGCACATCTAATCTTCAGATTGCCCTATGCAAGAAAATTGTACAATGGACGCGTAATGAGAACCAAAATTTCCTTTGTCTGTGCACTGAGGCAAAACTCGCAGCTCTTTTGATGGAGAACAAAGAGTATTCTGAAGCTTTGGCTCTCCTTTCTGGACCAATCAATGACGCGAGAAGATTAGATAACAAGTTGCTTCTTGGAGACATTCACTTGCTAGAAAGGAAGCTTCATTTCTCTTTCAAGAATCTACCTAAAGCCAAAGCTGCACTTACAGCTGCAAGAACAGGTACTATTTGATTCTTCTCAACGTGTTTTTTAGAAAGGGAGGGTAAGAGGAAAGAAGAAAGGGAGATGAGAAAAAAAATGATTGATCATTGCTTGATGTTCATTTCACTTTATTGAACTTGCTTCAGGCTCTTATTATGTTTTCAGTTACACAGTTGCTCGAGTAGTTCTGTATTTCGCCAGGAGTGTCCAACTATTTCGCCGTGGTTGATCTCAAAAGGTTTCAAGGTTGAAAATGGCCTAACAAGAAAAGGAAGCTTGCCCATTGAAAAGCATCCTGTTGAATAACTTATGCCTTGTAGACATTTCCTATCAGCTTAGCATTGAGTTGAGCTTATGCTTCATTTAGGATGCAGATAATGTGAAATCTAGAATTGATGGGGATTATTTATTTAAATAGCACAATATGCATAAAATAACAATTTTCAAGTTGTATCAGTCCAGTACAAGTGTAGCTTATACTTTTACAAATGTCCTTACAGTATGTTCAAGAAGCAGAGAATAATAAATATCCTAATAGTAAATCTATATTACTAATACCCAGACAAATACATGCAACGGCTTCTACTGCGACTATTGTCCCCAAATAAGGCTTATAAGCCCAACATGTGGACACAAGCTTGACCTAGCTGGTCAGTTATTGCTTTCTTTTTTTCAGGGAGTTACACATAATTCTTGGAGTTTTATAGGGAGTTATTACTTTTTTAATGATCAATGTCTCTAGCATTATAATTGCTTTTTAGTAATCATCCTATGATTATTTATGGCAGTCACAATGAATCTTTAGCCCTTGACATCATTTAAGCTAACGGTATTAATTCCAGCTGTGTGTTTTGATCATTTAAGCTAACGGTTCCATGTGCATATTGTTTCTACCATATATAATTATGTTCACACCTCTGCCTTGTGCTCTCATTCTTTCGTGTTGAACATTGATGTCCTTTTAATAAATGATAAAATGTTCCATATGCACATATTTTTCTACCATATATGAGATTATGTTCACACCTCAGACTTGTGCTTAAGTTTCAGCAGGAACTGTAATGCCTAGACATGCCTTGCACTCAAAATAAATGGGATATGTTTTGTAGTTGTTCCTGCTTGGTTTTAGCTTTTGGAAGTCAAGGTGCAGCACTGCAGCACCTTGTGCCATATCTTTTGAATCAACTATACTGCTACATATGTAAACACCACGCTTTTTTCTTTCTTTTGAACCATCAGTACTGCACTACCTTCATCTTTTGTATCAGTGCATAGATGCTCTTTTGAACTAATATATATTACTTTTGCTTGAACACAATCTTTTTCATCATGCAAAATATAAAAATATCACAATAACAAATACAACCTTACTAATAGGTCTAAAGTGCGTGGAAGCAACCACCTCATTCTTATCAATGGAATGCACCAGCTCTTGAGCCAATAAGATATATTGTCGGCATATCCCTTGCTTTAACAAAAGCTGACTGTTGTTCATCTGAAATCAAGAAAGGCAGCAACGGTTTAAGTCTGTTACACAAAATTTTAGTAAAAAGCTTACGTAGAAATGTACAAAGACTTATAGGTTGAAAATTAGCAAATGAGGCGACTGTATCCTTCTTGGGAATTAAAACAATAAGCGATAGGAACACCAGCCCAAAAATCATTAATAGCATCAACTAAATCAGAAGAATGATGTCCCACCAAAACCAGCAGCCCAAATGGCTGTTGGCCACCACCAAAGATTTAAGTCTGGGTGGGATGGAAGGTTAAGGTTCAAATCTTGTCTCCCATCATTTGTCATAATATGTAGTTTCCTTAAATCCATACGGATGTTTAGTGGATCCGTTTGATCCGATGGTGATTCAGTTTCTGTCGATTTTTCGTAGGTCTAGTTGGACCTCCCCTCTTAGATTAGACTAGAGTAGGAGTAGAAGTAAATATAGTATAGATGAGTGACGAATGACCAGAAAAAAAAAAAAAAAAGAATGATGTCCCAGCATGCGTGAAGAATAAACCAGTGAAACCAAATCATCTGGCCTCGCAGCACTTTGACCATCCAGTTGGAAAATAGCTTCTTTTATTTCTTACACTGAAATTTTCTCTGAAGAAATAACCGAGAATACAATTAAGAAGTCTTTCTTGAGCCGCGCCATATCATGATTTTGAACATCTTGATTAAACAAATCTTGAAAGAAAGAAATTGTGACTTGACTAATTTGTCCTTCATCTTCTATCCACTTACCATCACTCTATCCAAACTCCAAAGCTTCCAAATGCGCACACCATACCTAACTCCAGTCCACGTTTATTTACCACCCACAGCCGGAAATTTGTGTTAATGAAGCAGCCGAGATAAATTTGTTAAAATCTGCTATTGCTTGTAAATCCTGAGGCGCATGGCCAGTATTCCTCCAAAGAGGATATAACATTAAAGTCCCCCCCCCCCAACTACCCACAGGCGATCGCCAATAGATGAAGTAATATCAGACAAACCAGCCTATAAGCAATGCCGTTCAGCTCGCGTACACTTTGCATAAACAAAGGTATCAAATGCAGCTTCACTCCAAGAATAAAAAATTCATCCATCTCCAAGCGGCCACTAGGGTTTAACAAAGGGACATCAGCTTGTTGAACTAAATTGGCATTCTTCGCCTGATTAACCTTCGAAATATAAAATTTCTGGATTCCATGTCGCCGTTCAGAAACCCTTATTTTGGGGCTTTGAAACCCTCATCTCTAGAAACTTTTTGTGACTAGAGGACTCATTATGGCCAGTACGCGAACAGAACTGACAAAAACTAGCATATTTTCAAATTCAACGAGTTGCCACAAGCTCCAATTATCATCACCAATCCAAATTCTTGTCTTTTGCTCCATCTTAATAGTGGGCAGCGGATTCCTAGTGTTCAAAATTCAAAATTAAAAGCAGCAAGAAGAACAGAGAGAGAAATAGTAAATGCTTATAGTAAGCATGAAAGAGATGATGATAGTGTATTATAAATGCTCCCTAAATTTCCTATGTTACAAAGAATTTTTTTTTTACCCTGACTAGACATCTCAAGAGTTGAATGATGGATAATCAAGGTTTAACAGGGAAAATGCCGGTTTTCATCCCCAAACTTTGGGGTAAGGACACATTTCGTCCCTCAACTTTTGGACACGACACATTTGATGTCTGAATTAATAATTTTTTACCAATATCATCCTCAAACGGCAATTTAGTCAATTTTTAACGGAACTGGTCACGTGAAAATCACATGACCGTTAAGTAAACTTAAATCACATTTTTAACAAAACCTGCCAGTTTCCCATAAAGAGCTGGTATGTTATGGGCAATTTATTATTTTTTTTTAACTTTCACATATTTAATTTATATTAAATACAAAATACTAGTTTTCCTTTGAGCGCTATTTAACCAATTTTTCCTATAAAGAGTTAGTATGTTTCCCATAAAGAGCTGGTACAAAACATACTACAAAACCTGCAGTTTCCCATAAAAATCTGGTATGTTATGGGCAATTTATTATTTTTTTTTAACTTTCACATATTTAATTTATGTTAAATACAAAACATACTAGTTTTCCTTTGGGCACTATTTAACCAATTTTTCCTATAAAAAGCTGGTATGTTTCCCATAAAGAGTTGGTACAAAACATACTACAAAACCTGCCAGTTTCCCATAAAAAGCTGGTATGTTATGGGCAATTTACTAATTTTTTTTAATTTTCACATATTTAATTTATGTTAAATACAAAACATACTAGTTCAATGGGTAAAAATATGTTATGAATAACTCAAAATTTATACTTTTAATAGTTCAATGGGTAAAAATATGTTATGAATAATTGAAGGGCCAAATTTTTACTATTCAAATAGTTCAATGGCTGCTCAAATAATTTGCTCTTATATAAATAGTAAAAGTATGCAAAGTATATGTAATTTTTAAATTTTGAGGGGAGCTTTTTGTAGCTATTAAAAATCTCAAGGGATGTTTGTGAAAGTATCCCTTTTCATTTTTCATGATGATTATTTCTTTTCTTGCCTATTTTTCATTTTATCCTTATTTTTAGCTTTTTCCCCCTTACGTACGGGACGCAAGTGTTTATTGATGGATGCTTAGTCAAAATTGCCAAAAGTTGACTGATTGCATGCAGGAAACTGGCAGGTTTTGTTAAAAATGTGATTTAAGTTTACTTAACGGTCATGTGATTTTCACATGAGAGTTCCGTTAAAAATTGGCTAAATTGCCGTTTGAGGATGACATTGGTTCAAATTATTAATTCAGCCATCAAATGTGTCGTACCCAAAAGTTGAGGGACGAAATTTGTCCTTATCCAGAGTTTGGGGATAACATATTGATTCTAGTTCCTGGTTGGGGTATTTTGTCTACATTTATTGATTCTACTTGGTTGGCTACCTGATTGAAAACTGAAACAACATTTTGATTTAGTTGTAGTCCAAATTTTTGAACTACTATTGCTTGTTTTGTCAGTTTCTTGGGGACATTTGCTAATTTCAGTTGGTTAAGTTGTGTAAGACTGTCCATTGAGATATTTGCTGAGATTTTGAGTGGAATTGGGTTTAATTGCTGCCATACGTGGGGATATTTTCTGATATTTATTGAGTTACTGCTGTTTGATTTAAATCCTCCCTATGTATATACCAGTGGTACTGGTTGCATTGTTGCTTACAGTTTCTTGATCCTTAGTGCTTAAATTATTTTTCGAATCCTGAACTGTGGTTGCTGGAATTGCCAATTTCTGTGGTCAATTGCTAATTTTAGCAGGTTGAATTGGGTATTTAACTGTCCAATTGGAGACAGTTGTTACGGTTTTGGGTCCACTTGTGTCTATTTTGTATAATTTGTGTCGCGTTGTGGGTAATTTGCTGCGGCTGTTGGTTAAATTAAGAGGTGCCTGTTACGCTTAAATTTGCTTATTGAAGTGGTTACCTTTACTTGCCTTGCTCAGGAGCATTTTATCCTTTTGGTTTCCTTTACTAAGCTCTTTGGAACACTTGTTGCATTTTGGACTGTCTTGATTCTGAATTTGACTACGTTTGGACCATAGGTGCTCATTGATTGCCATTGCTTTAAGTGTTGGGGTATTTGTATGTCCTCTGGGTGGTTGAATTGTGCCTATTGTTCATTGGGTTGGTTTTAAACCAAAAAAATTGTTATTACTTTGAAATCCCTGTTTCCATTATCTGTTGGCAATTGTAGTCCCTTGTGATTAGAGTGACATCTAGAGATCATGGTAAGGCCAAGATCCGCTTCTAGGTTTAGGACACCTAGACACTCGCAGCCTCCTCCTACCCCAGGGCTGACGAATGGCACCAGCTCCAGATGCGAGTTGAACGACTAGCAACTCGGATGACCCACATTGACGTCAACCTGCATCACATGTGCAGAATTTGGCAGCATTTATGCCCCATGCAGGCCTTGATCCTCAATTTTCACCTGAACCGCCCCTGTTTTGATGACTTCAGGGAAGTACCGTTGCCCCTCTCTTTTCTTCTGTTGTTACATTATCACATTGAGGGCAATGTGTGACTTA